GTGGAGGACGGGCAGCAGCGTGGGCATCGGGCCTGCCCCCTCCCTCTGCCCTCGGAGGAGGCCTGGACATGCCCAGCACCACCCATGGGGGGGAGAGGAGAGGAGCCGAGATCAGGCCACGTGGTGTCCAGACTGTGACAGTGACCGGAGAAAGGGCAGCAGTGGAGGCCAGAGCAGCATCCGGGGCAGGTGGGGCTCGGGCCACCTGCACGTGCAGGGAGGTGTAGGCAGGCGGGCGGCAGGCCGGGCCTCTGGCTGACAAGGCGGCTCAGCAGGCTCAGCAGAGAAGAGAGTGGAGGGCAGGGCTCTGCCTTCACGGTGCACAGGCCCTCGGGGAAGAGGGGATCTGCTGGAGGGAGGCCGGCCTCCCTGCCGAGTCACCCATGGCGGGGGGGCGGGGGTTGCTGGGCCCCAGAATGGAGTGGTGGAGGGTGTCCCTGGGGAGAAAAAGCAGTTCAAGACGAGGCTGTTCCTTTAAACTTTCCGTGCCAGCCTTTGTGGGTGATTCTGACGCAGGAAGCCAGGCGTCCCGTCAGAGAGCCCATGGACTCCACCAGCTGTAGGGGCCAGGAAGGGGGTTGTGTGGGTCCAGAAGAAAAGGAAGAATTGCTTCTCACTGAGGGAATCGGGAAAGGGCCTCAGAGGCCCTGCTGCCTTGGGTTTGGACCTGCAGAGACAGGGAGGGGCACCCCAGGAGGCAGGACTGGCCAGGAAATGGGGAGCCTGGTAGGGACACTCGGGTCTGATCTCCGAGAGCTCGGGGGCAGCAGGAGGTGTGGGCTGGGAGGCTGAGCACCGCACTGAGCTGGGAGCTCAAGTCGGTGGAAGCAATGGGAGCCTTTTCAGGCTTCAGAGCAAAAGAAGGCCCTGAGCGGAGCTCGTGAGAGCCACGTGGGCCCAAGGCCAGGATCCAGCAAGCCCAGCTTGGAGGCGCCCGCTTCCCTGTGGGAGGTGAAGAGGCCAGATGATGGGCTGTGGCTGTGAGGTGGGGGGGTGTCTGGTGAGGAGACCTGGGGGGGTGGAGGGGGGACTTGGGGCCCCCTCGGAGGCGGCCACAGGAGGACAGCAGAGGGCAGGTTAGCGGAGCAGGACTCGGTGTGTGGAAGAGAGCGGGGCTTGCCGCAGGAGGTGACCAGGGCTCTGGGAAGAGAAAGGTCAGCAGGATGGAAAGCCAAAGGGTGGGGCTGAGGCATCTCCACCCTGGGAGGGGCCCGCCAGGGGCTGTGCTGGGCCCTCAGACCTGCTGTGGCCCGGCTGCGTGAGATTTGTGCTGGGAGGACAGGGAGGCGGTGTCCGGAGGTCCTGGCCACCAGGAGTCCCACCTGCAGGGCTCTCAGAGGCCTCCTGCTGCG